CAGTGTGGGCCCAGGTCCCCTGGTGCTCCTGACCTCTGAGCAGTGGAGGCAGAGCTCACCAAGCAGGGAATGCCTAACCCCACCTTCGCCCGTGCTGCACAGGGAGGAGTGACAATGGAGGGGCCATTTGCCCCGTGGCCGGTGGGTGGGGGCGCAGGATGGAGAGGGAGCGAGCTCTGGCTCTTTGGGTGAGTGATGATGGAGGTGTGGAGAAGGGTAGGCATGGCCACGGTGGAGGGAAGTACAGAGGATCAAAAGGTGTTCAGAAGGTGTACTGAACAGAGCTTGGTCGTGTGGCAGGTGAGGGAGAAAGAAGGAATATGCATGTGGCTGGAAATGGTACCGAGGTGGAGAGGAAAAGAGCACCAAGAGGCCAGTTTGGAAGGTGGTTAATTTTGAACACCTTGTGTCTGAAAATACTGACAAACCCAGACCCTGCTGCGTGTTCTCTCCATTTAAAAAAGCATTTAAAAGCAATCTGATTCTTAGCAGTCTAACCCAAGAGGTTAGAGGAGCTGGAATTGAGGCAGACAGTTCTGGACATTAGTGAGCATTGCCTGTTTATTGAAGAGACTGCTCTCTGGGCCACACCTCCTCCCTAAGCTGCCAGGCTTCTGTCCCTTCTGAACCTGGTTTTCTGGCTGTCCTTTCCTGCCAGAACCTGCCCTTCATATTTTCAATCATTCTTCCATTTTCTTAAATAGCCCAGCACTGATTTCCATTATAACACTCCAGAAAAACATGAATTGGGGTTAACTCTGATTGTAAGTGTAGTCCCATCAGACTTGAGGAGTGAGTTTACAAGGCTGAGAAGGGCCCAGGATTCCAGGCAGAAGGTCCACCAAGGGCAAAGGTAAGGATGTGGATGAGCTTGCCTTCCTTGGGGAATGGAGAGGGGACTCAGGGAAGATCAGTTTGGCTTAAGTGTGAGCAGATAGAGGTGTGCTATCTGAAATTTCCCGCAGAGCCCCTGCCATGAAGGTTTGGTCTCTTAGGAAGTTCCTAAGATGTCAGTCTGTTCTGTGTCCTTGTGCATCTGAGACCAGCTGTCATCAAACGTTTCCATTACAGCCTGGGCACTCAGCCCGACTTCACTTCTGACATTCCCTTGCAATGAGTCTCCACCAGGGGGTTGTAGATGGAAGTGCCCTTCATCATTTCCAGCCTAGGTCCATCAAAGCCTTCCACAAGTGACCCTCACTTTCTCCTTGCCCTACGTACTTGTTCAGTGTTCATGCTGAAGGTGGGGCTTCTAGTAGTCTAGGTCCTCAAAAAATGGTATGGAGCAAAGCCCCAACCTCACGCCACTGGATTTGATTTGACCAAGAATTTAACTTTTACTCTTTTGGGTTAAGTCATTGAGATTTTAGGATTTATCTGTTGTGGCTACTAGTCTTAATTAATGCAGATCTGCAAACCCATGAGACATAAAGGAACTTATTTGGGTATGGCGGGTTTTCACCAGGGGTTTATACCCTGGTTTAGCATTGTTGTTTCTCCTTTCACTTTTTTCTTTTGGTAGTGGGACTTCAACACAGGGGAACTTTACCACTGAGATGCATCCCCAGTCTTTGTTATTTTTTATTTTGACAAGGGGGTCTCACTAAGTTGCTGAGGCTGGCCTCAAACTTGTGACCCTCTTGCCT